ATATATATATATATATATATATATATATATACAGTGCCGTGGCAAGTAGGTCTGGGGCCCCCCTAAAACTTGTCATTAGGGCCCCAATTTTTAATATTTTTTTTTTAAAGTGAATAAAATTTACAGATTACTTTGAAACATCTGGCTACTTAACATATTTTAACGTCGCCGTTCATAAGACTAAAAAAAATCAAATTAATGCTTAAGTTCAATTAGATATTTTTTATAATTGTTAAATTGATACAGAGTTTACTAGTCTAGAGTTTCTTTAACTAATGTAAATGTATTATCCAGATAATACAAGTTGCAAATCATCAAAAAAAGGGTTTGCGACGTGTTTTCATGCTTGCAAACTCATTTAATATGCCTTCATAATTTAATTTTCTTGCTACCTCGTTTTCAATCGACAGCATTGCTAAGGAAGACAAACGTTCATCGACCATTGTTGACCTATATAAAGATACAATGAAATATAGCTACATGTATTTATGTATAATTAAGCAAGATTATTTATACTAACCTATGAAATGTTTTAATTAGTTTTAACTTGCTGAAGCTACGTTCTGCACTTGCAACAGTGACTGGTAAAGTAAGAATGATTCGTAACGCAATAACTAGATTAGGATAAGTTTCTTACAACTCTTCTTTGTAGATGTAGTTTAGGAAATCATGTGCAGATTTTAGAAAAGCATTTTTTTCCTCCTTTATAACAATGACAAATCGTTTTAACTCCATTTCTAAATCCTCAAAATCTATATCATTAAGCTTTAATTGCAAACTTTTGCAATATACAGACAGAGAATTTTCATTACAAGCTTTGATAAGACTCTCGGATCGGTAAAAAAAGTCAAAAAGCTTTGTGACAATGCTGACCTGTTCAAAACGCTCTTTTACTGATGCAATTGACATATCAATTAGAAGCAAAAAGAAATCTGCTTTATACTGATGTTTAAGTTGCCGAGTGTGATCAACGCACTCGTATGAATAAATTGATTTTTTCTTTCGTGAACGCACTATTGGAAAAACCCTTTCAATGCCCAATAATTCTGCGATTTCTGACGCCTTAATACATGCGTCAGAAAATCCATTTTCACGATACTCATAAAGAAATGAATTTGTTGCCTTTATTTCACAAGCTAAGATGTCGAGAGATACTGCAGGAGACTGAAGCAGCTTACTTGATTTGTTTATTTGAAATAAAACGTCATACCAAATATTGATTGATAATAAGAAAGGCCATGTTCTAATATATTCTGTCAGCGATCGTACTTCTGTGGCAGTTGCCTCATCTCTTTTTTCTAAGGCATGTTCTTCCAATCTTTCAAGTTCCTCTAAGATTTCTTTTAAGTAATAGCAAAGTGGTTTAACGCAGTTTATTCTACTTTCCCATCTGGTATCTGATTGTGGTTTCACAGAAATTTCCGTGCATGATTTTAAAATTTCCCATCGAGGAGGAGACGATGAAAAGAGTGTATATAACCTTGAAAGAACATCAAAAAAAGAAATTGCACTGATGGATGACCAACAATAACAAGATTGAGTGAATGGTTTGCACAAGGAACATATAAGGCCTTAGGATTCATTTCCAGAAACCTTGCTTAAACACCTTTTACTTTCATATTAGCACCATTATCATAAGATTGACCTCGACAGTCTAAAATATTTAAATCCCAATCTTATGCCTGATTTAAAAATGCATCAAAAAGCTCTTTTCCAGTGGTTTCATTTACTGTGAGATATCCAAAGAAATTTTCGAAAATGTCGATACCTACTCCAGGAGTACATGTTTGTTCTTTGTGCAAAATGTCTGGCGTACAATCTAAAATAATTGAATAGTACTTTCCCTAGATAGGTTTTTGGATTCAATTTCCTTGGCTAAAAGTCTAATCAACTCGTTCTGTGTGTCATTGCTCAAATAGTGCTCCTTGGTATCTTTGTCCTGAATTCTTTGCATAAGCTTATTGAGAACGGTATCGTACTTAGCCAGTAATTCAAACACCCCAAGAAAGTTTCCATTGCTCTTAGAACCAATGGTTGTGTCTGAACCATGGAATGCAAGATTTCTTGCAGAAAGAAATAAGATAATGTCAAGTATTCTTTCTAACACAGCTCTCCAAAATTTCCGCTCTTTATGAAGCAACTTTTGTTGTTGCTCGTCTATGGTAGCTTGATTTGCTATACCTGCATTACCAAAATTGAGGAAAAAAATTAAATGAGAATAAAAAAAGTAACAAAACAATAAATTAAAAGAAATATCAGTTAACCTTTTCGTAAAGTCATCCATTGTTCAATTAAAATGTGCACTTCATGTTTCGTGTTCTTTAAGTTTTTTTGATAAGCCTTCCCAAGTGTTCATTCCTTGTCGGAATGGTGAAGAGGTTATCCCAAAAAGTTTGCAACAAAAACAAAACACTTTATTGCTATTCAAAGAATATATGAGCCATGTCCGTTCGAAGATTTCTCCATTCTTCATCTTGCGATTATAATAATTTATTGAAAATCGTCTTCTTTCTAAATTGTATGGAAAATCAATTTCAATTTTATTGAAACCCTGTTTAACAATGTCACACCTTTGTGTGTCGGAAACATTATCTGGCCACTCAGAAAGAAAAATAGGCGGAATTGTTATGCCATTTGATGTAGACTCGCATACCAACTTATCTGACTCTACTCTGGTATTCAAATAATGACAATCAGAATTATTTGTAGTTTCTGTTGGTATCGAAACACTTCCAAAAAATGTGTTAGTTTGGGGTACTTTGTGATTTCCTCCCTGGCTGCAGCTTTTTCTCCTCTCTTAGTGGCACCACTTTTTACTTTTTTCATACCAATAATTATATTGTGAAAAACTAATGAAAGACAATTATAAATTTTTGGAAATCTTCTTTCATTGTTTTTTATGGCATGGGCATTTGGGAATCACTTTTATTTTGCGTAATATTACGGCATGGACATTAAGAAACCACTTTAAGTTTGCGTAATATTACGGTTTGGATTGGTATCGAATTCAACTTTTTTTTTTCTTTTGCATGGAAAATATTATTGCTTTTATAATGCTTGCATAATTTAGGTAATATCGTGATTAAAAGGCCAAGTTTTTTATTAATAGTTACAGTGACAATATACATTTCAATATATTTATTATAAAAAATACAAAAAAAAAATTTAACTTTCGATAAGGGCCCCTAGAAATGCTGGGCCCTCCTAATTGGGGTGTATGGGGAAGCCTAGCTACGGCTGTATATATACATATAGAGAAAATAAAGAGATAATTTTTATTTTGACCATAGATTTTTAACAAACTTTTAATATATCTGTGTATAAAGCTACTGTGGGTAGATTAGTTCTTATTAAATAAATATTTTCAAATAAACTTTATTGTTATATAAAAACACTAAATATTTATTTCAATTTTAAATATTTATTTACATTATATGTAAATATTAAAAATTTATTTCTTTACATCACATCAAAATTAATCTCTTCCAAGTATTAAAATAAACAAATAAATTTAAAATTGAACTAATTTGGAAAAAAATTATTATGTCTGTCCAACAACACCAGTAGTCCAATATCATTTGTACACTTTTATCCAAGATCATCTGTATTTTTTTAGTTACATTTTTTCAATGCCAGAACTGAAAAGATGTAGTTATACAAATGTAGTTTTCTCAACATTATTGAAAAGATGTAACTACATGTGAAGTAATCATATGCTTATAACGCAGATGTCATTTGACCTCAATGAAATTCCAGATGTTGTTAGACAGATGTTATTATACTTTAGTGTATTAACAGATGTTGTTGGACAGATATAAATATACATTATTACAATTACAGATATTGTTGGACAGATCTTATTAGCAAAAACTGATGTTGTTCCCTGATCCATTTTACTAAACTAATAATAAAAACTATAGTATTATATTTGTACTAACCTTGAAAATAAATTAAACCAAGTTATTTAGTTCAATCATACATTAAATAAGATGAAAAATGCGCAGCAAACTCATATAATTAGTTAGTTATATGCAATGATAAATTAAGAAAATTTTTTATTATTCGACAAATTTTATTATTTATCTAATAGTTATTCCTAATATATCATAGGTTATATGAGATCTGAGATTATTAATTCTTTACTCATTTCTATACAAATCAGGATAGCATTTGTCGTCAACCAAGGTAGTAATGCTTTTATCGAGCAGACTTTTAAGTTCACGGAGAAGAATATGTGGTTTAGGATTTTGTAATGTTAAATCCAAAAGGAATACTTTTATGTTTTAAATTTGTATGCCTTGTTAGGCCTCTTTTAGATAGGCACTTTTTAGAGCAAATTGTGCAAGAAAATGTACTTTCAATAGGTTCACTAGAGAACTCTAACACCAAGGCGTCTAAATCTTTATTAAAATTTTCGTCTGCAAAAAGAAAATCATTCTCTAAAGAAAAAAAATGTTTCAATATCAAATTCACCATTGAACTCTTTATCCGTTTCCATATTTTGTGCACTCTGTTCCTGGCCGTTAAGTGTAAAAAGATTTACGTTTTTTCACTTTGCATGAAAAACCGATGTATCGTAACTTATTATAGCTTTTTTAATATAAATATTTGGACTACCGACATGAGGTTAGCAGAAACTTGATGCGGAAAGGTTGTACTAACTAAAACGTGAAACAACACTTTGATTAAATTAGTTTCAGTGTGATTTTTTGGCTACGAAAGGCTGTTTGCACGAAATTCGCCAACTTACCATAGTACGCTGAATTGTATCATTTACGTAATTGTATTACGACTTAGGGATCGTCCATAAATACGTCACGCTATAAGGGGGAGGGGGAGTTGGTAGTTTTGTGACGACTCATACAAAACTTGCTTCTTAAGTGTTACGAGGGGGAGGGAGGGAGGTCAAAATCTGTCGAAAATGTGTGACGTAATTTATGGATGATCCCTTATGACATAAGTTATGTTTATGTATTACGACTAATGAATTATGTTACGCGACTAAAATTTTTAACTGAAAAAAAAAAATAAAAATAAATGTTCGCTCCATTTAATGACGTCACTCGCGCAGTGATTAGCCCTGTTACATACAGGGCTACGCTACGGAACAACATTAATGATTACTAATCATTAGTAATTGTTGTTCATTAGTAATCATTAATGTTGTTCCGAAGCGTATTTTATTCATTGATTACGCATAAAAACAAAGCGATCTTCAACTATTGAGTAAAAAAGTCACGAGTTTTATCATGGCAGATATAACCAGTCAAGAGTTTATAAACATTAACGATGATTGCATTAAAGTTATGGAAAAAGGAATATCTGTTACAACATGTGCTTTGTTCATAGTAGCAACTATGGCTGGCAGTGGGATTTTAGCTATCCCTAAAGCTTTAAGTGAATCTGGATGGACAGGAATCGTTTTGTTAATACTTGGTTGCTGCATGTCACTTTATTGTGGAATTATACTTGGTCAATGCTGGATGTTAACAAATAGAACATTAGAAAGCTCTAGGCAACACATACGAGATCCTTACCCTACGATTGGAAAGATTGCAGCTGGTAAATTGGGAAAACGAATAGTTGAAATTTGTGTTCTTGTTACTTTGGTAGGAGTTTGTACTGTTTTTCTCTTACTATCAGCGAATCAAATATCATCAATTGTAAGCAAAAATATTGGTTCTCTAAAGCCGCAAAATGAATTTAGAGTGTTTGTTTTGATATGTGGACTTGTTCTTTTACCATTTACATGGCTCAACTCCCCCAAAGAGATTTGGCAATTTGCTTTAGCTGCAAGTCTTTGCACAATAATAGCATGCATATTTATAATTATCAGAACAAGTATGTATTTGTATGAAAATGGTGTTGCTTCTAATGATAAAAGGACAACAGAAACATTTGAATCTTTTTTTTCTGCTTTTGGAACAATTGCATTTGCATTTGGAGGTGCAACAGTTTTTCCAACATTCCAAAATGATATGAAACTTCCAGATAAATTTCCTTGTGCAGCAATCTACGCATTTATTGCTGTACTTTTTATGTATATACCTGTTGCAGTCTTACCTTATCTTGCTTTTGGTAGTACTGTAGATGGCAATATTTTAAAAACACTCAAAAAACTAGAAGGAAATGGAAAATTTATGATTACAATGTCTGAAGTTGTGATTACTCTTCATTTGCTGTTTACTTTTGTTATTACAATAAACCCAATAAGTCAACAGCTAGAAAAATATTTTAAAACAGAGCACAGTAAGATTATTTGTTTGTTTGTTTGAAAATTATTTTAAGCGAAAATCTATTATCAATATATAAAAAACAGTATATTTAAAAATTATATTTATCACAATTAATGCTTATTTAATGTATGTATATATATATATATATATATATATATATATATATATATATATATATATATATATATATATATATATATATATATATATATATATATATATATATATATATATGCCGCTTGTTGCAGTTTAGAACTAAAATATATCTAAAAATGTATTGTCCATTTGCCAAAAAAGTCCTATTCTCAGCCATTTTGAAATGCTTGTAATTTTTTCTAACACTTTGTATTGATCTAAGCTTAACAGCAATTAAGACCATAAGATCCAACTATCTGAAAATGCAAACATTTTTTACTTGTCGGAGATTCCATGTGAAAGCATCTAAATTTTTTCGAAAATGCAACCATAAGTCTCAGATTTTGCTGGTGTTTAAACCACTCAAAGATTTTAGTAAATTATGAACATCCTGAAAATTTTATCGTCTAATTTCAATTGGTTCTTAAGATATAGCTATTTTAAGTTTGCCTCCAACCAAGAAAAATCCGCCATTTTTAAAAATGGTTTTGGTCCTAGTTTCTGTTATATGTGTGTTAGAAAGCTGAAAATTTGTATCTTTACATATTTTGGGCCAACAAATCCAATAAAACAATTTAAATTATTTAAAAACAAACATAACACCTAAAATTTGAATGTTTACCACAATTTTACACAATTTTACCAATCACAAAAATGCCTATGTAGCTCGATTTTTTTTTTTAGAAGTTGTTCTGAGTAGTTAAGCTGTAGTTACTGCAAAGAATTGGAGAGTGGTCTTTTCTAAAACAGAAATAAAAACATGGTCAAATCTACTTAAATTTATTGCTTAAAAAACAAGTATTATGACAAATTAAACAAGAAAAAAAATGTGGTAATTTGACAGTTTTCTAACTGAAACAGTTTTGGCTGCATCAAACTGTTCTTTGTTGTTGTTGACTAGCTGTTTCTGTTTTCTTTGTAATTTTTTCACAGTTTCAAAGGGGGAGAATTATATAAATGTAGATTCCAAATTCAGTTTTTTTTTCAGAAGTTGTATTAAATAGTTTAGTTGGAGTTATTACAAATAATCAGATTGCGGTCTTAAATCAGAAATAAAAACATCTTCAAATATACTTAAATTTTTTACTTATAAAATATTAATTTCATATTTAATAAACTTAAAAAACAAAGACTCCAAAACAAATAAAACACTCGGAAATAAGTTCAAGAAACAAAAGTAATATACAAAATTTAAAAATTAAAAACTCAAAAAAATTAAAATTTATCAGTTAATGTGTTATAATCATTCACATCAATGTTATATGTTCACCCTGATTTTATTGTTGGGACTTTGATTACTGCAATTAAACTCGACAATAGTACCCAACAGATATCATTTCTCTGTGGCCAAATGAAGTTTTGGGAAGGGCCGTGAGGGTGCATAAACTTAATTTGAATATCATTTGTAATAATATCTATCTCTGCAACTATGCCTATCCACCAAAAGGAATCGTACTTGCATGCAACAAAATCATTTAGATTTGGTACAATAACAACATCAGACATTACTGCTTTTGACAGTATAAATCTGTCAACACATTGATGTTCACTTGTTCTTTTAAAGCTAATTTCAAATTTTGAAATGGGTATGTAATGATGATAACTTCTGGTACCTGGAGCAGTTTTTCCTGTTTCAAATTGCTCCTTTAGCTGCTGTCTCCTTGCATTAACTGTTTCTTTGGAAATTTTATAAAATATATATATATATTTTTTAATGTTGATTTAAGTGCCTCAAGAAGTCCTTACAGAGCACCGCGGAAGAGCATTTAATAGGAAGTTCACGCCTCCTTCCCAACCGATGTCGCAAAACTTGTCCAGAGGTGGGGTTTAAACCACGGATCTTATGTTTCTGAGGCAAGTGCGCTACCACTGCGCCATGGCTGCTTGATATGACTGCTAGATATGACATCATTACTATAAAATATGACTGTGTTTATATTGGTGATGCAAAACTCAAGCATATCATCAATTGTCAACATTTGGTTTTCTAATGGTCTTTGCAAACTTGCTCTTGCTGTTATTCTTTTAATGATACCACCTATGCCATCACAAGTGGATTTTCCATAGCTGGTTGCAAAAAATACCCATTCAGCTGTAATCTCGAAATCTTCTTTATGGTGGCATAGATTTATAAAGTTTTTATATTTTTTATATTGAGCAGAACATCCATCAGAAAAATAATAAATTTTATTGATACTAAATATTCTTCAATGTACTCTACAATTTTCTTTTGAAATTCATTCACAAAGCATGTATCATGATCATTGTCATCACTTAAAAAACAGAATGACTGAATATCTGTTTTAGAAAATTCCTTAAAATATATAACAACAGGATGAAGTGTACATTGTTGTTTATTCCAATAATAACTTTGTATTTCATCCTGTATAACAAATTGATAGTTCTCTGCAAAATCTGCCTGTATAATACATTCATTGTAACCTAAATTATTTTTTAGTTCCTTTAAATAGTAAGTTTGGCATTATATGAATATATGAATGTGAAGTTAGATAATTAATGTGAGAAACAACTAGTTCTTTATATTGAAATAAGTTAACTGATTGAGTAATTAATTGTGACCTATCAGTACTTTGCCATTGGTTGAATTGAATTTCTTCTTCTTCATCAATCTCAATTAATTCCTCATCTAAAAATGCCTTTAAGTTATCATAACCTGGGCATTTGCCTCATCTATGAACCATGCATTCATTATTGCTTGTATCACATACTTATTTTGACATTAAATCTTTGTATTTAACATTCCATTGGACAGCATTTACAAGCAACATTAAGTTTTGATGGTAAATACAAACACATACACTAATACACCATTTTAGACGCAAACTACAAAACTTTGAAAATTCTATTTTATAATTAGGGTATTTACTTTTAAAATCAATATAAAGCTCATGAAGGTTGCACAACAATAATCTTTTTTGTTGTGGAGGAGCACTTTTAACATTAACACAATCTTTTTTACGAGGCATAATTCTAGAATGTTTATCTTGTTGAAAAAAATCTTGAACGAAAGTAGTAAGAAAGTCAGGTAGTTTTTGGCCTATTTTCTTATCAGGTATAGCAAGAATTCCATTTTCACTTTTAAGTTTTAGCACATTGTATAAGATGTTCAGAATCTTCAAAATATTCTGGAGCGTATTTTCTAGACCAAGAATCAGGTGTAAGTGTTAATATATTAATTTTTTTTTAATGGTTCAACTTTAAGTTTATTTTTTCATTAAAGTTGTCAAATGATCAAGATCATTTGCTTTTTTTTATCCGTAGGATGGCTGGAAAAAGTTGAAGCTACACTTAAGTTATCTATATTTACTCCATAAGCATTTGCTACATCTTCTTCCATTTTTGTGTAGGCTTTGACTAATTTTCTTTTTGCTGTTACAACTCGTTGATGCTTTGCGAGTCCATGAACTTTAGTTGGTGAGACTCCAATTGGTATTAAAGAGTTGTCTAACTGTTGTTTATTACAAGATTTACCTTTAACAAATAATACATCACCATCAATTTCACAATACATTTCATTATCAGAAACTTCATCACGATTTGACAAAAACTAAATACATGAGCGACAAAATTTCCATCCTGGTTTACAATATAGATTTTTGGATTTAAGGTTATGAGCCATTTCAAGAGATATGGTTGTTTGACCTAAAATAAAATCATTATTTTTAAATAAACATACTCTGCCTCTAAATATATATATATATATATATATATATATATATATATATATATATATATATATATATATATATATATATATATATATATATATATATATATATATATATATATATATATATATATATATATATATATATATATATATATATATATATATTATATTATATTAATTTATATAATATATATATAAGTTAATATATAATACATAAATATATAGTGGTGTAGTGGTAGAGTGCTTGCTTCATAAGTGAGAGGTTCCGAGTTCGATTCCTATCACGTCCCTGGTAGTACCACATTCAACTTGTTTCTCTGCGCAGCGGCTTTATTTTGTCAAGGTTCGTGTTTCGGAGTTATAGAGTTGAAAGAGGGTTATAACCACAAATAAATAGCCTCCTTGTCTGTAGTGGCTTTTTCGGCCTTAAAGAGGGGAATTATCAAAAAGAAAAAAAATACCTTTAACCTTTTTTTTGTTTCTTTTTAAAACATCGCAACACTTATCATTCTTTTGTAGAAATTTTCAGTCCAAAAACCTGCTCATGATGATAATAAATAGACTTTTTCTCTTCGTATGATGTAGTATCAAGCAAACCAGACCTCCAAATATAAGTATCTTGAAAGTCCTTTTCTAGATTACAAAAATAATTTAGTCCTTGTTTTCGAACAAAACATATTTTGTGACATTCATCTTTTAAAGCTTTTCCAAATCCACAAGATTCCATTTTATCAATATACTGTTATTTATTATTTCTAAAAAAGATGCAAGAAAATGTATGATTCATTCAATGTGTTCATGGGGTCAAAGTTGTTTAGGATCAGAAATTTTAACTTAATTAGTAAGAATTCTAACTTTAATTTTACAACCTTATAAACATTTCTAAATGTTTTATGCGGTAGTGGTGTAGTGGTAGAGCGCTTGCTTCATAAACGAGTGGTTCCAAGTTCGATCCCCACCACGTCCCTGGTAGTACCGCGCTCAACTCGTTTTCCGCGCAGCGGCCTTGTTTGTCAAGGTTCGTGTTTCGGAGTTATAGAGTTAAGAGAGAGTTATAGCCACAAAATTAGTAGCCTCCTCGTCTGTAGTGGCCTTCTCGGCCTTGAGGAGGTGAAGTAAAATAAAAAAAAAAAAAAAAAAAATCATAAAAGCAAATTCATAACAGCAATTCAACAACATCTAAAAGA